TCCTTGATCTCATTCCGAAATTCAGTTTGAAACTCAGAAAAATTCTTCCTAGCTTCTTGTAAACTTTGTTGTGCAGCATCACGTTCATCTTTTAGTCGTTCACAAAGGTCACTTGCCTAAACAGCTATTACTGTAATTAACTGACGGTTAAATTTTAACTAATTCAGTAATTAAATCAATTAATATTGACGTCTTTTAATAAGAAACTTTTCAAACAGGTCAAAAAAACTGACATCTTTGTATTGCAGACTGAGCTGTGACACATGTGTTTCACAGTTTTTTAGCTGTTCATTTAAGACAATATTTTCTTCATTCAATTCAGACAATTTAATTTCTGATCTTAACAGCTTTGCACGTAGTTCACCAACTTCTTCAGATTCACTGAAAATTATATGTTGTTAAAAATTATGAAATAAATTTCTTATTCCTCTCCAAAGCCAAACTGATTATCCATTTTATATTTGAACCCAAAGTACCTAGAATTTTCAAGCTTAGTTCTTAGCTTTCGGTTCTCTAGCTGTAGTTCCAAGATCCGCTTCTTATCATCATCAGCTATCTGACTTCCCAATGAACCGAAATCTTCTCGAGCACTTTGAGCTTCGCTCATACTTTCTACTCGACGTTCAAGTGCAGCACACTTTTGTTTTTCAGTTTCAAGTTGTCTTTCCTGTTGACCATTTTCCAACAACAATTGTTCGATCCTTTCACGTCCCTTGAAAAAAGTTTATTTAGAAATCAAAAAGCAAAAAGGAATAAGACAAAATAACAAAAACAAAGAAATAAGTAGAGGAGCAGAATAACAAATTTTGACACAGACATTTCAAAAAAATTCCATTTCTAACTAAAATTTTAAAACAAAATTTTATAGTTTTCAAATTTAAAATACTGAATAATACGTCCGGTTTTTGTTATGCCAAACAGTACAGTGCCATTAGAAAGTGTATTGAATAGTAACCGAAGAACTTTAACTCGAAAAAAGAATAGAATTAGGCCAAAAAAAAAAAATTGCAAGTTGAAACCGAAATTGACTGCTGCTGAAAGCTGCTTTGCTGCACCGAAGTGACATTTGGAATTGTGCAACTAAACAGACTGTAATCTGACATTTAGCAAAATGCAGTCCAAACGGAATTGAGTAAATGAAAACAAAATCTTCGCAAACACTTTATAAATAGCAGAAAAAAATAAAGAAGGTCCTAAGAACACACTATGACTTTGAAACGCTAATTTCACTTTTGACATTTGTGTTTTCAAGTCAAAAAAACTATTTGAAAATTTAAATAAAGAATTTTTGAAAAAAAAAAACAAATTTTTTTCAAATCTAAAAATCTCAAAGGTGGTAAGACTGTCAGTTTACCAAATTTCTGTATGTCGTTATATTTCTGAACAATAACACTGCAAAAAAGAGAAAGAAGACGTTTTGCAAATCCAGAATCAGTTTTGCAATAAATACACATACAGAAAACGTCAAACGACAATGTTGACTTCAGTATGCAAAACGAAATTAGCATGAAAAACAGCACAAGTAACTGCTGTATTCTTTCTCATCGATACAACAAGCATTAAGATATTTCTTCTCCACCTCCGAGAAGAACAACTCAAAAAAATCAACTAAAGTAAATGAAACTGAACAACACTGATACTTCAAAATTTGCTCTAAACGTTGACAATAAACAGAATGCTCTACAGAGTTTTTCAGTTTCAGTGACTAGTGTTATTCCTAGTTCAGCTTTTAGATTCCTAGACACAGGAGACGTTCCACTACAATTATCCACTAATAATTTTCCGGTAGAAGCTTCTAAAGCTTTAGAACTTTATCAGACATCTGTCTTACAGATGTTCAGATTCTGAACTAAAAACAACAGTCTAACGCAGCTGCCAAAAACCAAAAACCACCTTTATCCATTAATCGATTTCCTAACCAGATAAAATAACTACAGCTGATTCAGGATTGCTGCTGCAAATAACATTTAATTGTTGCTTTAAAAATTTGGTAAATCGAACTTTTTTATACCAAACTATCGTTAAACCACTTCACTCTTAAACTTACTCTTTTCATTCGTCTTACCCGGATTCCGCATATATAGGTGATGCTTAGATGACGTTACTTCAAATTTTTCTCATTAACCAAATAAGCTGGGCAAAAACTTCGAACTTTTATTTATATCAAAAATTTCTTCTTATAATAATAAAAAATATTATTGAGGTTTTAAAGCTACAAAAAAGGTTAATTTAAGAAGCAAAAAATAACAGGAAAACTTTTAGACATCATCAAATGTTCTGAATGTTAGATAAATAGTTTTCTTCTGAAAATGCTGCAGTCAACAGGTGTCAAAAGTATGCGAAAAACTGTAGCTATCGTTGTTGAAGATTAAAAAAATTTAACAAAGTCTATTAATGCCACTTTACTGATGATTGCTTTGCTGAAATAATACGCTTTTTCCTACTTCCCTTCTTCATTATCTGTAACTATTCCCATCCTTTTCAACTATTCCTCATTCTAATGTGATTGTCCGGTGGGAAAGGAAAAAAAGAGCTACAGATGAGAAGCAATAAAAAATTGAATTAAGGTTGAGACATTTTTATTTTTTTGTAATAAAATTAACGATTTTAAATGTGTACTGTACTCTGTACAGAATTCCATATTCTTTTAAAAGTATCAGTGACTTCTCATTACCAAAATTGAGATTTGGTGCGTTGCGCAACTAAGCTATGCTAAGTTTTCCATACTCATTAATCTGCTACCTTAAATTTACCTTTCTGATTTCTTGGCTAAATTACATCTGTCAGAACAACAAAGATTCTTGTAAATGAAACAGACAGCTGAGTTGACAGCAGTAAATTTCTTCTAACTTTAAAAGATATGCTCAGTAGCAGTGTGCTCAGTAACAGTGTTAAATCTCGGCCTTTATTATTGCTTTCATATTAAAGATGAGAAAGGTTCCAAAAGAGCACTTAATGTCGCATTCAATAACTTTGATATATATAAGAAGCACTATAAAGATCACCCTCAATTTATTAATTCTACTAATTTCTGACGATATAAAAATAGTTTTTTACTTCTTTCTTAGAAAAAAGTGCATAAAAAATTCAAGCAAAAAAAAACCCATAAAAGACAGAACTCACTCAGAAAAAATGAGCAAACAAAAAAGATATTTGCAATGCCCAGAAAAAAAATCCAGATACAGAATGTTCTTTTACGAATTAAATTGATGTCATAAAACATGAAATTTTTTTTGGCTCCTGCAGTACTGTGTTCAAAGTAGCAGTTTCCCAAGCCATTTTTGAGTTGTTCTAGAAAACTAATACCACCATTAATGAAATCTTTCAGTTACTCGTGAAAACAAAACATATTTAATATATCTTCACGTTCAAAAGAAGTAATAAAAAATGCCTGGTAAATTATTGAAATATAATCATTAAATAGCCATCACTACTGAAAATTAGATGAATTAGGAGAAATATTCCCACGCAAAAAAAATTTGAGGATTTCGTTACTGAATTTTTCTCAACAAATCCTATACAACGAGGCCAGTGTAAGTGATTACATCTATCAGAAATCTTAAAAATCAAACTAAAAATATGACAGAGTTTTTTATGTTTCGATCTTATTTTTGGCCCAAAAGAGTAAAAAACAAAAAAATTTTCCTCAATTTTTATCTCATGTCACGAATTCGTTAATCAATCCAACGGTTTACCATCCTTTTGTGCCATCCTAGACTTCCATCATTTTTCTTTTCCCAATTGTGTTTCTTATGCACTCAGGAATCTCACCATTAAACAATAGAGGTAGACTAAACACTAGGATTCACATAACAGGTCTGTGCTAACTGCTATGCAAAAAAAATATAAAACTTGTCCAACTGCATTAAAAGAGATGTATTAAGCGAATATCTTAAATGACAGATCAAAATGAGCTACTTCTTTACAGGAAATATAAAATATCACTAAGAAAAAAGATGGATTAGAAATGAACTTAATCTCTATTGACTTATGATTTTATTTGAAAAAATAAGTTAAAACAGCTGTTTCCGGGATATAAGCCCTACACTGTGGCAATGTAAACATTCAGAAAAAGAAAGCGAGAAAACTTAACGGTATTCAACAAGTTTGCAGGTATTACAGAAATTTATTCAAAACTTCATTTTTCTGACGATATTTGTACGCAGAAAAATGGTATACCTTAGCCAAATCAGCCTGCAAAGTTTTAATTTGATTTTGGCAATTTGCAAGTTTCGTTTGTGTATCCATATGAAACGAGGCTTTACGTTGACAATCGGATAGTTGTCCCTCCAGAACCGAGCATGATTCATGCATCAAATCATTCTCCTCTTTTAATTGCTAAAAAATCAAGCACCGATTAGTTGCTGTGCTAAAAAAATAGATTCGTAATTTTACGGTGAAGAAACAGGAATGTCCACTTACCGCAAGTCTTGATTTGAAGAATTCTAATTCCGAAAGTTTCTCCTTCAGCTTACCGTTTTCGGTTTCTAGTCTTTCAAGTTTTGCCAACTAAAAATGGCTTAACTGTAACGAGAGCAATACTATACAGAAGACTGTTCAGAATTAATAATATTTACATGTGTTCTTTTTTCCCACCTTGCTGACAGAACAAATAATAAAACTCGAAACTGCTCTAAGTCTTAATTGAGGTAACGTTGTGTTTAATTAGTGCAATCTTTTTAAATTTATATTCATCGCTACTGAGTAATAGCGAGGGTTCTTTGAGCTCCCCTAAATTTTACTGAATGCAAATAGAATAAAAAACTGAAAAAAAACTTTGATACTTTTCTTCCCATTCTTTCCCTCTCTTTTTTTCAAAAATTAAATTATTTACTAAAAAAAAAAATTTTCTCTTCAAATATTAGTACTGTTTTTTATTTTACACCTTTTGATTTCAAAAATGAAGTTGTAATAATGGTCGATAAAAAAACCTTGTGCTGTAAACAATCCAGTTCATCCCGGTAATCTTTGGCTGCTCGTGCATCTTTAATCAACTCCAACCTTTCTTGTTGCAATTTCAATAAATCTGCTTTTCTGGCCTCAAGTTCTTCGGTAAGGTCGCCGACAAGTTCATCTTTTTGTTCCCTATAATTATTGCACTGTCGTTCTTTAGAGAACAGAGGGAATAAGGGAATGGAAAAATGATTAGGCATCTTCAACAGTCCCTCTGCGATGCATGATTCATTCCATTCATAACAAAAGGCCACCACTGCCATCATCATCACCACCACCACCAGTCAGTCAGTTGTACAACAACGGCAGCAGTGATGATGACCACCGATACATAGTGCAGTGGCTGTTACGCTGCGGTATTACAACACTTCAAAGGGGAAAATTATGAAGTCATTGATCAATCGAGTAATATTATGATGGGAACATTGAAGGATTCTGTTGATAACTGAAGATGGAAGCAGCAAAAGCCCCCCGATACAATTTTGAGCGAAAAACGAACAAAATCAGCAGTAAACAATGAATGATCGACCTTGAAAGGTACAGGCACTTGTTAATTTACAACTCATTTCTACATGTTTCTCCAAACTTCATCAACTATTCATGCTCTTTGTGACTGGTTGAAATTATTCATATGGACAGTCATTATGATTATTATTATTATTATTATTATTATTA